CCTTCGAAAGCTGATGGTGCCAGATATGCCGTCGAAGAAGAGAATGCTCGCCCGCCCGTTGGAGAACGGTTCCCTGGGTCTGCTGCCTCTGGTTGCCTCCAGCCATCCTGCATTGATTTAGACAAACAGCCGACCCCTGTGATGGAAGCTGCCAAAAAGAGTTCACACCAAGCGGCTTCGTCTGGCGATTCCGGAAGTCGTGCATCTTCCATAGTTGATTCCATAAAGTCCTCAATTGAAGAAGAGGCATTTGCTTTATCGGAAGGAAGTGGAGAATCAGTGAGCGGGCGTATTGATTCCGTGAAGTCGGCATCGGCCGGGTCCAGTCTTGCACAGCCGTCATCGCTTAAATCGGCGAAAGGAGGGTCAGGTGAAGTCGAGTCTACAGGCCGAAAATCCCTTGAACGTGCCTTCGGTAAAGAAGCCCCATCTGTGTCGGAGAGAAGTAATGTGTCTGACTTGGAAGGATCGTCAGTTGCGAAACCTAGTCCCAAGAAGACGTCACCCGTCGAGTCTGCAAAACACAGCAGACGCCAAGTCGCATCGCGCAGCTCCGCATCCCCAAGTGATTTCAGAAGTCGTGTTTCTTCGAAAGCTGATGGTGCCAGATATTCCGTCGAAGAAGAGAATGCTCGCACGCCTATTGGAGAAGGACTGTCTGTGTCTGCTGTTTCTTACAGTTTTGATTTCGACAATCAATCGACCCCTGTGATGGAAGCTGCCAAAAAGAGTTCACACCAAGCGGCTTCGTCTGGTGATTCCGGAAGTCGTGCATCTTCCATAGTTGATTCCATAAAGTCCTCAATTAAAGAAGAGGCATTTGCTTTATCGGAAGGAAGTGGAGAATCAGTGAGCGGGCGTATTGATTCCGTGAAGTCGGCATCGGCCGGGTCCAGTCTTGCACAGCCGTCATCGCTTAAATCGGCGAAAGGAGGGTCAGGTGAAGTCGAGTCTACAGGCCGAAAATCCCTTGAACGTGCCTTCGGTAAAGAAGCCCCATCTGTGTCGGAGAGAAGTAATGTGTCTGACTTGGAAGGATCGTCAGTTGCGAAACCTAGTCCCAAGAAGACGTCACCCGTCGAGTCTGCAAAACACAGCAGACGCCAAGTCGCATCGAGTAGCTCTGATTCCCCAAGTGATTCCAGAAGTCGTGTTTCTTCGAAAGCTGATGCTGCCAGATATGCCGTCGAGGAAGAGAATGCTCGCCCGCCCGTTGGAGAACGGTTCCCTGGGTCTGCTGCCTCTGGTTGCCTCCAGCCATCCCGCAGTGATTTAGACAAACAGCCGACCCCTGTGATGGAAGCTGCCAAAAAGAGCACACATCAATCGGCTTCGTCTGGCGATTCCGGAAGTCGTGCATCTTTTATAGTTGATTCGATAAAATCGTCAATTGAAGACGAGGCATTGGCCTTATCGGAAGGAAGTCGGGAATCTGTGAGCGGGCGTATTGATTCCGTGAAGTCGGCATCGCCCGCTTCTAGTCTTCAGCGGACATCACCGAAGGTTTTAAGCAAGCCGCCAATTTCGCCGGCTGCGTCTGCGGAGTGCAGATCAGGTGATATTACTTTGAATGGTTCTGCCTCGCATGATGAGTCAGGAAGTCGCGCTTCTTCAAAAGGTGATGGCGTCGAACATGGCTCCAAACTCGTGTCCCCGGTCCACTCACGATCAGCCCCGCACGTGAACATAGCGACAACGTTGACAGAGAATCAAGAAGGCTGTAGTCAGTCAGAGCAGTCCTCCGTTCCGAGTAAAATTTCCATTTCAAGATATGCTATCACTGGCGCTTATTTTGTCGAAATCCTCCCCCGGAACCATGCCTCTGCCTCCACAAGTCAATCTCAAGTCCCGTCTGAAGCATCCAAGACGGCTCAGTCACCCATCGGTCGGGCGTCTCCCGGCACTCCAACAACTCCCGGTGTGGAAGAGAAGAGCGGCGGCGTGGCCTCGGTCGCCTCTATCTCCTCGGCACCATCCCTTCAGACTGCGCCAGACTCCGACGCCAGTGCACAGCCACAGAGTCTGGCTTCTCTTGGGCCCGCGCAACCGCGATCATCTGTCGACGTGGATGGAACCCACAACACGACGCCCGACAAGCCGCCTACCACGTCCAGAGGCACCGAAGCCTACTCGGCGGATTTCGAGAGCGTGACCGTGTGTTCGTCGGGACCCAGCAACGCACAAACCACCGACCCACCCTCCGGTCGCAGCTCTGTCGGTGTCTTGCCCATCCCCACGGACGAAGAATTTGACCACCAGTCACCGGTAGCCTCTACGCCCCATCCGTGAGTTAGTAGTGCTGTAACAGTCGTTTTTCTGTCAAGCTCGATAGAGTCAAAACCTCAGCAAACTACGGATTATGCGCAGACAAGGGGGTCGGTTTTTGTAAACAATCGTATTTCCCACACAAAATGGCAGGTATTTGTGCAACAATTACATGGTTTTTCCCCGGGTATGAGTATCGATCGCTTGTACTGACCGTGATTAGATGATCTGGTGGAAATATTCGCATTTGACCCTTCTTTCGGTTGGCAGAATCAAACGGAGGACATTTTATTTTTGGCTGGTTTGAAGTATTTACTTGGGGAATTACTTTAAACTAGCACCATAAGACACATGGAGTATTCCCTAAGCTGTCTCATTCCTCAACAGTGATAAGGTGGATGGTGGGTTTTGACGGTGGCTGCAAATCGACCAGATGATACGTTCTTGAGCCAATCTAACAGCATTTTTAACTTTTCCGTTGGTTTCTTTAGCCGATTCCTTGACACTCCTTGGCCCGAGGTTAACCCGCACATCGAGGCTGCAGCCGCGGCATCCACCGTGGTGAGAGACGCCTTCAATGAACCAGACAAAGAAGTGGTCACTCCGATCAAACCCCGGATTCGGCGGGTCTTCAAAGGCGACCCAGAGCCCATGTTGTCCAACTTCATCGAAGACTTGTTCGACCAAGTCGTCAGCAACACCGTCGATTTCGTCATGAAGGTAGATCGTGCTTGTCAGCACCGAGCTGCGGTGAAGGCGGCGCAGCAGGGGGTGCAGCAGGCGGCGGAGCTCGTGGGGGCAGAGGGGGAAGTGCTGGCGGGCGAGGAGACGCTGGAGTTCGTGGAAGAACAGTTGGGAGTCGCGAAAGAGCAGTTGAGGGAGTTGGTGGAGGATCGGGTGAAGGAGTTCATTGAGGAACATGTGGAGGAGCGCGTGGAGGAACATGTGGAGGAGCAGGCGAACCAGCGCGCAGTGGAACAGGTGAAGGTGAAGGAGCGGGTGGAGGAGCGCAGTTTCAGTTACTTTGAGGAAGACAACAGCGATGATCTCACTCTGGTGAGTCTTCATCGTTTTTCTGTGAGCATTGTCAGAAGTCTAACTTGATAAATGATAGAGCAGGCGTGTTTGGTCCCGAACTTGCCCATACCTAAATCTGCTCCCATTTCTCTTGTGTGTGTATGTGTGTAGACGGAAGATGATCTCATTGGAATGATCGCGAACACCGCTTCGCGAACTGCCCCCTTGTTCCAGGAGGCGCTGCGCTTCTTCTGGGACCTGCGCACCTCTAGTGAACGCGGAACCTACGAGAAAGCCCTCAGGGAGGCCACCTACCCACCGCGTTTCTCCGCCGATTGTATCGAAGATGAAGGTGAGTCCAGCAGTTTCCTCACCTGCCATTTCTGGCTTGTTCTTCCCTGGAAGGCTGTTGTTTTGGTCTTTATTTTGTCCTCATACAGCGACTTTTCGGTGTTCTACGAAGTTCCGTATGAGATCCTGGTTGTTAACCGACGCAGGCACTGCTTGACATCCACCGTTTCTCTTTTAACCACTTTAGATATCGAACTGGGCAGGCGAATTGTGAAAATCGGCTTTGTCAATCGATGCTTGTTCTTTGACGTACTGCGTGAGATTCTGCAGTCCATTTACGAGGGCGAAGACGCCGAGATTCGCGAAAATCGCCAGCCTTCCATGAACAGCGCGCGCTTCAGGCTGTGGCAGGGTCCGAATCGGTAAGTGTGCCATGAAATTGCCTTGTGATGCCGCAAGAGGGCTGCACCATGCTAACCTGGTTTGTTTTGACCCTCAGGCCGAGCAGCTTTGAGCGTCTCGAGCGGATTGTGCGGCCCAAGCTGGAGGCGAATCTGGGCGTGAGCCTGACGCCTCCGACGTCCGCCGACGCCGAGCACTACACCCCACCGCCGCTGCCCAACCTGCTCGGAGACGTCTCGCGACTGTCCCGTGTCGCCCAGTGGACCCTGCGTGACAAGCACTGGCTAGACCAGATGGTCGAGGTGGAGATGCGCATGGAGGAGTTCTCGTGGCTCAACTACGCGCCCTACGAGAGACAGCTGTTTGATGGCCTGGTTGAGGGCATTATGCGCGAGTTGCTTGAAGACGTCTGCAAACAGTGCATCAGTGAGTTTATTGAAGAGGGATCCTTGGCGCAACAACGCTAGTCGACTGATTCGGCCCCTCTCTCAATTCCCGCTTTCTCCTCCCTCTCATCAATGTATATATATTCGATCTATTTTTCTAGTGATTCGGAAGATTATACTTTTCAATGATTTACCCGGTCATTCTCTTTGTAGCCGGTTTTTGACGCGATTACAAGTGAAGTTCCTCACGCCGATGGTAGAGCCCTGTCGAATAGGCCGCGTGACAGATTTAAAGTGCACTAACGCGACTTGTTTTACGCCATTACACCGTTAAGTCAAGTAGTGTTGTGGGGAGTCATTCGGAGTCAAGAACCGTGAGTTCATCCACAGAGTATTCATCCCGAGTACCCTTGGAGTTCACAAATGAACGTGGTCGTCAACGCCTGTTCTCGGCAATGTAACAAACTGTTGGGTCTTTCTTGAATCCGGTTATCCCGTCTTGTGGTGCGCTGCATTTAATAAGTGAGTTCCACAGTCGTGTCAAATGATGGCAAGTTGAATGTGCGTGGGTTTTGGTTCCCCTGATGCAAGAATTGATTTCCTAAACTGTGATTTGTGGTTGAGTGAGGTAGGATCGCATCTACACACATTGTTAAATTTCCTACCTGGTCAAACAGTGCAAATAGGTTAGTTCGATCGCTCGAGCCAATAGAGTGAGATTACCGATGGTGATTGGTGTAGGAGAGAAAGGGTTTTTGAGCATCTGGAAGCATGATTTAGACTCGAAGGCCTCTAACTTGAGCCTAATTGAGAAATCTTGCAACGGAGTGCTGTAAGTCGAAAACTACTGGATGACATGAAAGACATACATTTCACCCTGCATCACAACCTAGACTAAAAAATCGATATTTGGAGGAACCGGCAATAAGGCAATGAAGTGATTGTCGTGCCTAAGCGTATCAACTAGCCCACGAAATAGCCAATCAGAGCGAACGTTAAAAAATCAATAATTGAATGGTGACCAATCAACGTCACAACTGAACGTGCCTGGATCCGCCACGAAAAGTCCTAAACGCAATCAGACAATAATCAATGTCTTATCACTTTAAGCATCTGATATATCGCGAGCTCACTGGGGGTTCCCGATTCGTGTATCGATAACAAAAGAACTCGAACCTTGAAATTAAAAAAAAAAAAACTGAAATCAAATATTTGATTAATGTTGCTACAGTTTTTAAGTTCAAAACCGCGCAACTTTCTACCACTCAAAAGTGTATGCGCAGTTGTACCAATCTCTTGATCATATGAACTGCACGTGGATGTTTTTAAGATCTCACAAACTGTCTGTAGCTTGCATCATTTGAAAGAATTACGAAAAGGGTGTCGCTGTGAGCACTAGAGTAAGTCAGCATGCATGATATAATGCCACATCGCACTTTTGAGCCATAAATAATATACTTTTGTAGTGGACTATTTAATGCGTTTAAATCGTTTTAAAGTCCTCCATTTTTAACACGACATCAGCAATCATTGAACCCCTCAATCGTCAACAACGGAATGTGAAAACGAAGCCGGATGCATGGAAGTAGGAGAAGGTGATGTTGTTGATGTCCTCGGCACGTTATCTTGAACCAAGCCGGGGCCACTGCGTCAATCTAGGCCGACTACGCTACCCTGAGTACCCGCTATGATAAAGACGAGGCACAACCGTTTACTAGACAGCCTAGTTGTGTTGTGTTGATTGACGCAATTGAGTCGACTAGTAAAAATGCAGACGTCTGAATGGTCACATAGATAGAGCGGGTGGTGGTGGTGGTACATACAGAAGGGTGAATGAGGAGGCTGTCCCAGAGACTGACGGGCACGCCGTGAAAAGGGGCACGTGTGTGTGAGGCTGCGACGACCGAATTATTGGACGTGAATCAACACGATTCACTGCAGCGTTATGTGTCCGGTGTGGTGGTTTCAATAACATCTCTTCGCACAAGTTTCTTTCACGTGGTCAGGCAATAATTGCTGAGGGGTACAATGGCCCATTCAATGCTGAACATTCAAATTTGGTCACCATGACAACAATTGACCTTATGTCATTGGACAGGCACTGCCGAAGCTGGGGCAAATAAAGTGGCAGCATTTTCCGACCTTGACCTTTTGCATTCTTATCTGTTCCTTTCACCCGCAAAATAGTGTTAATATTAAAAATTGCTCTGAAATAAAACACACTCCAGATTCTAAGAGGAGGCATTCTAGTAAAAGATGGTTAAACAGAAAGAAGAAGGGTACTCTGTTGTGTACTAAAATTGATGTCCAATGAATGCGCATTGAGCTAGAGTTGATTTCATTTGCTCTCTTTACGTGAATCTGTCGATTTTTTGCTCCCAAAAATGACACATTGGGAGTCATGCCACATTGGTGGAGTCATGCCACAATTTCGGAACACAGTTAATCACAGAAGCGATTCCTCTCAGGTATCCTTTTTGTCAGTTAAAATAGTTAAGCTGTCATAAAAAAAGCCGTTAGGGGATGTTTAATAACCCTTTTACAGGAGTCTGTTCTTAGTGTGACAACAGCAGTCCTTTGGAGGTGCCCTAATACGCCTGCAAATGGTGTTTGTTTTCACCACGGTAATGCGATATCCATTGGTTGATTCGTGTACCAAAACCAACCGAGTTCTTGGCAAAATCACCGTTTACCCCGTGAGTAATTCTCAGCGTTTGAAGTGTTGTGTAATCAAACCCCCGCGCCACCGCATGCAGCCGGTGTTTGCATTGTAAATCATCGTTTGAAACGACACTAAATAAACAAATTACAAGTGGTTTAGCGATGGAGCAGAACTCTGTTTAAGTAAAATGATACCGACGTGTAGTCCTGGCTAGTCGTGTTGTTAGAACAATTACAAAATCACTTTAGCCGCCAGATTAGTGTGCAGTTGCGACATTTCAAGGTCTCGTCCTGTGTCGATATTTGATTTGTTGAAATGCAAGTGGTGCTGCATATCATTGAACGATCAATCAACCTGTGACATTCCATCCGTTCTTCAAATTATCATACAAATGCCATTTTTGGGAGATTTCGTGTGTGCGCGTTAATAGGCGAATTTTGGTTGAGTTTAAGCCCTGCACACCGTGTGAACCCATTTGTCTTTTGGCTCCTGTCAGATAGCCACGCACGAGTGCGTGCGCGCGTGAGCACGCTCGATGCTGAATTCTGATTGGCACTCACACTGCGGTTTCAGCCTGTCTACGCTAGCTTTGGCTCGCTGCACCTGTGCTCACACTTGATTTGTGTAGCTGAATAAGTCATTGTCAGCCTCGCCCTGGGAAAGTAAATTAACACGTAAGCTACCAGTTTCATAATCGGACTTGTGTCAGGACGCTCCTATAGTGCAAAACGTAGAATACCTTTATCTGAATCTTCGGTGTACTTTACAAAATCACGTTTTATCAAATTCATAACCTTTGTAATCAAGCATAAGTCAAAATACTGATTCGACAAGTGTTTATTTTTTCCTGATAATTGGGTTCAAAATGCACAACACCCAGATGAGTTCATACTCGCTCTGAAAGTGGTAGGTGTGAGTGAATTTGAGGCGAACAAATCACACACGCACCCAGATTGGTAATAGCCGTATGCTTTGCCAGTGATAAATCACGGCCCGGAGATCGGTGGAACCACTCGCCTGGATAACGGAAGAAATTCCCCCGCCGGTGGAATGGGTCTGGCACACTCCTTCACGAAACGGCATCGGGCAAAGCCCAAAGAATTCTCGCTGGACGCATTCGTTGTCGATCTGGTGAAGGGGATGGCAGAGGCCACTGTCGACAGCGTCATCAAAGAGCGGAGGTGGACATTAAATGCGCCGAGATGCCTCGGCGGAGATGTTGGCGTGACGAATGGATTTTCCAGAGTGAGTTTGAAAATCCTGCGGTGCAGAAGTAGCGTAAAATCTCACTTTTATAGACAACTATAAAATATATCGCCTACATTGAGCCTAGGGATCGGCATGTTAGCAAGCTTTTATTACTTACAATCACATTTACTCGTTCCTTCCACGTAGAATTGGATTTTCTTCCTGTCAATCAAACTAACCTAACACCTCATTAAATGAACTTTTATGACACATAAAAGCATTAAAATGGCACATTATGCATTTACTGTGTTAAGCAGTTAACCAAGTTTTTCTTGAATTTGATGGCAAATAAAGTAGAAGGCACACGTGAACTTTGGGCTAGTCATTTAGAGAGGTGCGCGGTCGATACGAATATGCAAAATGGTGTGTATTAGGCCTCAAATATAAGCAGTTATAAGAGGCTAAGTAATTCTAAGTGATTCAGGGATTGTTTCTTCATAGCCATTAGCGTTTCCTTTGACGCCAATCATGTTTTGGTTATCCAAGTGGGCCAAAACATTCTGGTGTAGTAAAATACGCTCCCAATCGAAGTGATGCGCCTGTCTCACCTTGTAACCTTGCGCATAATCTGCTCTGTTTGATAGAATCCATCATCATCATCACCACCACCATCACCGCAAGCTAAGTCAGCTGCCGCATCTAGGCAACACGGTGTGATCGCGGGTGACGCGGTTGCCAAGTGCTCTTCACCAGACCTAAAAGTGCTTAGCTCCAAGGACGAATTCTTTCGTTCCGCTTTCTTGTCAGTTGACCAACAAGGCGCTAATGATGCTAAAAAGGTCGACTACAGCCAAGACCAGGCCGACAGTTCGGAGGATTCTAGCAGGTCGACGCTAGAGTCGACAAATTCCACCACCAGTTCCTCGCCCCTGGAGGATTCCACAAACACTGACGTCACTTCCACGCCTGCAAGATCGGTACGTCTTCTCGTGTGGCTATCGACTGACCACTGTCTCCAAATTCAGTGTTCCTATTTTGCTAAGTTTCTGGCTGCAGCCGCTGCCACTTTTCCAATTAATGTGTTTGAGTAGACTTTGATGAGCAGCCCGTGAAGGTTGTTTGCTGGCCAATAGGAAGTCTGGTCTTTGACCTCAATTTCCTTGTGTAGCCGGAAGAGGATGTGATTGGACTGATCGCGAACACCGCTTCGCGAACTGCACCCCTGTTCCAGGAGGCGCTGCACTTTTTCTGGGATCTGCGCACCTCGAGTGAACGCGGAACCTACGAGAAAGCCCTCAAGGACGCCACCTACCCACCACGATTCACCGCAGACTGCATCGAAGATGAAGGTAACTCCATCAGTTTCAGCACTTGCGTTCCTCACTGCTTCCCCTCGATTAGCGGATGTAGATTTTTGTCGATAACATTGCCACAGTTTCCCTCGAAAGTCGTTTTTAATGAATCAGTGGTGGTCGCACACGCAGTCAGCCTAATCTGCGTGAGAAAAACAATGGATAAGTTGATTTGATTATGTTACCAAAGTGGCATGTGTGTCACAACCCGCCATTGATTTTGTTTTACTTCTGTAGACATCACCATCTTCAAGACTATGGAGAAAATTGGCTTTGTGAATAGGGCCCTTATGTTTGACCTTCTCCGTGAACTGCTGCTGCAAATTTACGACGGCGAAGACGCAGATATCCGCAACAATCGACAGCCCTTTGTAAACAGCGCGCGGTTTAGACTGTGGCTTGGAGTTAAGCGGCAAGTGCTTTGCTAGTCCTTAACCAATCAAATCTGTTCGGTTAGTCTAGACGCAGGTACATATTGCTGATAGGTACATCTAGACATCTGTGATGAGATTTTAACAGTAGATTTGTGTGCAGTGGTCTTAATTTTAAAACACGATAATCCAGCATGACTGTCTTTAATGAACTAAAAAAATTAGTCATAGAAATTTAAAAGTGACGCAAATGCTTGAGTTTTGTTCACAACCATAACAGTCAATAGTCGAATGTGTAAGATGTCACCATGGCAACGTGCTTCGAGAGAATATGGTGTGCTTTTGTTAACTGAGAGCACTGCATGATCAATTTTTAAATACTATTTTAAATAGTGGACTGCGCACAGGATGGTAATACGAAACACAAATTAGCACATCGCATAGTGTTTTATGCAGTTCAACACAACCAAGTTCCACCAATGGGAAACGTAGCCTCAATAATCAGAGATCAGTAAGAGGCGTTAGATCAACAGCAAGTCTATAACCACACTGGTGTAGTAATTGTTGGCACTAAAAGCTTATAACACAACCTAAATTAAGAATCATAATGGTTCAGTGTACTTGCCAAGTCATGACGCATCAGAGCCACAAGAGCTTTCGGTAAGTAACGAATCCTCACACCACTCAACCAGTGATTTTTTTTACTACAATGGGAAAGCATTTAAAATAGCTACTAGCTTGCTCGCTCAAGGGGCGTACAGAGTTGAAATGCAGAACAAGGACGTCAGTAAGACAACAGAAAAATCCTTTGTGACATTTAGTTGAAAAAGAAACATGATTTTCTCCGTAACTCTTGTTAAAGCCCATGTTTAATCACACTTTTGATGTCACTTTAACCCACAAAATCGATGGTTAAAATGCGACAGCCTCTAAGTTAAGTAAGTTGTTTTACATTTTTTTCATTTCTTCTTAACAAAATATCTAGCTTAATTTACCGAAACCACGCAAATTTTCGCAATGTCGTAGTTGGGGCACAATGGTTTACAGAAAGCCTCTGCGCAAAAATTTATTTTGAAGGAAAAAAACGTGAAGAAGAGTGTTTAGATTAGAAAGCTGACAAATTGGCAGAATTCAATTCCACCGATGCAACCCAAACACCTACATTTTATGCACTGGCACCAATCATAAGAGCTGAAGGTACTTAAACTACAAATTATTATCCATTTTCTGCAGGCCAGATAAATTGGATAAGCTCGAGAGCATTGTCCGACCAAAAATCGAAAGAGAACTTGTTGTCTGCTTGACAGCTCCAGCAGTTGATGAGGCCGTCGTTCCTCCTCCGAGGCCATGTGTGGTTCATGACATTTCACGATTACCTCGACTCACTCAGTGGACCTTGCAACGAAAGGATTGGCTCGACCAAATACTAGAGTTGGAAATGAGGGCCGACGAACCAACGTGGCTGAATTACAAAGCTTACGAAAAGGAAGTCGTTGATACCTTTGTTGAAAAAATCTTACTGGAGACATTTGATGCGGCTTATGAAAGATGTTTTACGGGCATGACTAATGGCACTGTCGGTATGAGAGCGAAGATGGCAAAACGGCAATCCACATCTCCATGCAAAGGATTATCTGAAAGAACAGGTGTACAAACTTCAATTGACACTTCTCACACAAGATAAATCTTGCAGTTGTAAGGAAACTTGATCGCATAGATCCTTGCAAATAGATTTTTTATATTTTCGATAGTTTTTTCATTTTATAAAAGTTATTTTAACAAAATTCCTTGTTTTTTTTAAACTAGCTTGAGGTCGCATTTAAGAGTGATGTTTAAAGCATGAACATAATTTTTCAATGCGGCTGGAGGGATCTTAGATATATAACAGCCTTAGGACATTTAATTTGACTTTTATTAAGCCAATCGAGCAAAAAAAGAACAGTTTATGGGCCTGTCCATTTCACTTAAACTTATATTGAAAATAAAATAATTAATAGGAATTTCAATTTATTAGAAAACAATTAAATAATAAAAACTAATTAACAAATAGCTGGCAGATTGTGCTAATTATTATATCAAATCATGCGGATTTTAATTTCGGCTGTTCTTTAAAACTTTATTCCAATTAAATTAGAGAGTAAATTTTGGGCTTTAGTGGACTGAGAAACCAGTTAGAAGCGATCACCCACATTTTTAGGCTTGATCGAAAAATTCGGGTTTTTTTGAATACCAATTTCAATGATTTTTTTATTGGCTGCACATCGCCATCTCTCACTTTCCAACTATTTCAAAAAGTCTGGAGAAATAATGCAAGGTAAAGTTTTGACTTAGTATTAAAAAGAAAGCACTGAACTATATCCACAAGTATCAATGACATATTTTGAAATTTTCAGGCTAGCCGAACAAATTATAATGAGCTGCGTTCCCTGTGCATTATTCGAGTTTGTTGTTAATCTTTCAGATGCCTCACTCTGATCGGCAAGTTATTTCCCCGTTAAGCCTGGCCGCTGACTTGAACGTTATTTTGCTTTACCTTAAATCGAACTACTTAGCCATTTTTGACTTATTTTTTTTTTCTTTTTTGGGTATTTACGAAAACGGGGAGTACTATTGCCGATGTTTTCGCTAATTCTCTGACGTGTTGTTATTACTGATTTCATAATAGCGAGAGTGCACATATTGTGTTTAAGGTTGATAACATCATAGAAGTGCATTCTCTTCTTTACCTCATTGTGCCTAAAGTTTTGTAAATGGGTTTAGTTCAACTCATTGGTCCACAGATGTTTCTTGATCGGTTTGTGTAAATTCTCTTTTCTTACCCTGTATATTTGGTTATTATACAGACATATATTTAATTTGTATTGCGTTATAATAGGCATCGGTCCTCGCGTTATCGTCGCGGCAGGAGTCGCTCGCCGTCCCCGTAAGTCTTGTTTTGTTCCCTTTTTTGTCTCCCTTAAAATATCCCAGGGTTTTTTTGCGGCACAAATAAGTCCATATTGCTTTTCCAATTTGAGGCATCGACACTCTCGCCACCGTCGCGATAGAAGTCGATCGCGCACTCCGTAAGTGCCGTTTCCTTTCAGCACTGAGACAAACGATCACGTGTCAATTTAAGCAGTACTATCTCGTGGTTGGCTCCATCTACAAACGTGATTTATAGGAATTTTTTCGCTTTTGTATTTAGTGACTCTCCGTCTGGAATAAAAATTCAACTGAAGTAAGTTTTCTCATAACAATTAATATTCATCTTCACTCCATCCTCTGTCACATGTCTGTGTCTTTGGATGTATGCGAGGGTTTACCATTAAATTTCTCTGCTTTTCGTAAAGGCCCCTGGTTTTGGCATCAGACAATGAGAAGCTCCGTAATCAGGACATTGATTTTATTGAGACCTCGGGTTTCGTACAGACGTCATTCCGTTCCTCCAGAAAGGGTAGCCAAGTAAGTTTGCATCGACATTGAGAAAGTCGACTTTAAGCTCCAACAATGCGGCAAAGGCTTCTTCTTGTCTTTGCAGCTGCTCAAGCCGTCAGCTGAGACAGCCAGTGGAGAGGGGCTGAACGCGATTCGCGCATCGAGCAGCCAATACGACGAGATGACTCGCGAGCGCGCCCACGAGGCCGCCATCTTCGGCACTGGACGCGCGCTGCCCCTCTCTCTGGGCACCCGGCCGAGCGACGAGACCGCGCAGAAGGTTGTGCCGACTACCCAGGTTGTCGACCAAGTCATCCACCCACGGGTGAGGGTTACCGCTTGCCTCCCACCCCGTCCCTTTCCGTGCGCGGCTTGTGGATTTTGCATTTCTTTTTAGTTGAAGAAAGACAAGGAGGTCGCTTACAAGGAGTGGGCCGCGCGTTTGAACGACCTCGCAAACGCGCGTAGACAGTTACGGGATCCTGTCTTGACATAAATCCACACACACACACACACACACACGAACTCCCTATCTCTCCATACATATGTAAATAATATGTATATTAAATCCTTTTTTTAAAGCAGTTAATTTTGGCTTTTTCCCGATTTGTAGTTGTTTTTGGTTTGTTCGGATTGGGGGCTACGTAATATTCTTAAAACGTCCAGCTGTTTAGTCCCGTGAAATCTCACAACGCATCTCTTGACCGTTTACCTGCGGTGTTCCAATTCCCACTTATTATCTAGTTAGTAGCATGGCCAACATTAAGTCAAAAGTGTGTTTTCTGACAGTGGAACTCCCGTCGCCGCTAAAATTGTCGTTTTTTTCATTAGTAGATATGCACCCTCGTGCTGTTTCGTTTGTGGCACTACACAACCACCTTCGACGACGTTTATCGTCATACTCGTGGTCCTCATTGGTTCCCGAAAAGAAGGCGTTCATTGGAGGGAATTGGGTATCCGGGTCATTGGGTAAAACATTTCCTGGTAAGGAATTTCTGCAAGTTTAATTTTTATTTTGAATGAGCGACAATGCTCCCGGACATGACCACTTTGGGCCTATGAACTCTTGAGTTTGTAATTTGTACCGTGTACTTAAAATGTTGTTAGTAGTCTTTAATTTATGCTTGTACAAATTCACAATGATGCACCTGGGATGTATCAAACTCTTCTACGTCGTTAAAATTTTCTCAGCGAACAATTCTTCGTCTAGTAATTAACCCAGCGACAGAACAGCAAATTGCCGAGGTGCCGTGCATTTTTGCGCAGGAGGTGGACTGTGCCATCGAAGCAGCAGCCGAAGCTCAGAAGACCTGGGCAGTTGCAACCGTCGGGACTCGAGCTAGCGTCATTGAGGGCTGGGCCAACTCAATTGAACGTAACGCCTCCGTACTGGCCGAATTGATTACTGCTGAGAATGTAGGTGTCACCCCCTCACTGTGTCTGTCTGTGTGTCTGCTGGTTCAACACCGTCTTCTTCCGCGTGTTTCAGGGCAAAGTCGACGTCGACGCTCGAGGTGAGATAGCCTCGGCGGTGAGCGGGCTGCGCTGGTACGCCAACGAGGCGCGTTCCACATGCGGACAGATCATTCCCTCCACCCACGTCCCCGGTCGTCGACTCCTCGTTTTTCACCAGCCCGTCGGCGTCGTTGGCATGATCACACCTGTGCGTCACTCTTCGTCTTTCTTTTTTTGTGTTTATGACTTGCAAAATAAGTGGTCATTTCCGCTCAACTTTTGATTGGCCATCGTGGCAAATACTCGTCTCTGATTGGTCGAGTCAACCAGTAGTCGATAACACACTCTTCTGTTTACCCTTGAAGTGGAACTTCCCGTTGTCGATGTTTACGCGTAAGGCCGGTGCGGCCCTGGCCGCGGGCTGCTCCGTGGTGCTGAAGCCTGCCGAGGAGACTCCCCTGACAGCACTGGCGGCAGTCTATTTGGCCTCAGCCGAGGCCGGACTTGATGGTCGTCTGCTTAGTGTCGTTACGGCTCCGCGCGAAGACGCGGACATGGTTGGAAAAGCCTTCTGTTCGCACCACTTGATCCGACAAATTGGCTTCACGGGTTCGACGAGTGTTGGGAAAGTACGTTCGTGGACTCGCGCAAGTCTCTTAAATTACGTCTACTGAATTGTTGTAAGTAGTGCATCTGTGCTTCAGAAACTATATGCAGCGGCAGCGGCAAACATGAAGCGCGCTCAGCTGGAGTTGGGCGGCAACGCTCCATTCATTGTCTTCGAGTCAGCTGATCTTGATCTCGCTGTCTCGCAGGTGATCGCTTCCAAGTTCAGGTGCTCTGGACAGGTACGATGTTCTACTGGCTTTCATGTTGTCTTTTGACTAACTCATTTTTTGTGTATCCGTATCCACTAATTTTGTAAGTACGTTGGAAAAAACGTTTTTCTATTAACTTACTTTAAATTTTGTTATTAAAATAGCACTACTTAAGTAATCGTGAGTAGCATTACTTTTAATACACCTGGTTTGCTCGTTAAAATCAACACGTTTTCCATAAAATGCAGAACAATGCACAAAAAATCGTTTTTTTGTGATGGGTTTGGGATGACTGAGCCAATCACACGTTGATTCGGTTGTAGCATCAAAATTGTGAAAATTTTCATGAATTTGAGTATTCACAAGATATTTTTTTTAAAATAATAACTAGGTACATCGGTAAAGTGCATTGGTTGGCGAGGTGTAATTTTGAGAATGATGGTCGTTTGACTGTTTTGATACTCGCTACCTTTACTGCCCTGGCTTGAAATTAATGTGACGCAGCACAAACAGTGCCCTTTAATTTAAGTTTGGCCACGTAAAATTCTGCAGTCCGGTAAACCATAATTAACTCCTCTCTCCACCCATCAAACTAGACCGATTTAGCGGAAAAGTGTGCCCTCATGAGACACTCTGTTTGGCAGAATGACTTCGTCGTAATTTCACGTCGTAGTCGTTAGCGGTTGGTCGAGTCCTCTTTGAATTGGCCAATGAAATCAATCTTGGCTGTTGATTGGTCGAACCAGCCTCAAATTTGCTTGCGGTTTAAATTCTTGGCGCCGATTGGTTGGATTAGCTTCAGTTTTGCATGCAAGTCGATACTTATATAAATTTGGCTTCTCTATTACTGATTTTAAATCGATCTTCACAGAAATGCGTCCGAACGCCGCCAAAATCCAAAACCTTCAATGCACCTTCTCAAGTTATTAGATAGTGAGGGGTGCTTTTTAGGTCAATTTGGTTCAAGCCCCTCTTTGTGCCTGTTGTAGACGTGCGTCTGCGCCAATCGAATCCTGGTTCAAGACTCCATCTACGACACCTTCGTCGACATGCTCACAACAGCTGTGAGTGGTCTGGTGCTGGGTGAACACCAGGGTCCTCTCATAAACAGGGCCGCGTTAACTAAGGTACCGCACTTATTTGGTGCAGTATGCCCTGAAGGTAGATTTAATTCGAGGTCAGATTACGCAAGGTCGACTGACCAATCAAACGACCAGAAATATGGCATTTACATCATCAACCCAATCGACAACGTCAACCATGGTTGTCTGGTTACTCGGTTATCTGTTATTTTGGGGGTCGACTTAACAAACTCTCACGTGATTGGTCGAACAGTCTGGTACCTCAGCATAACGAGGGCATAAATTGAGTAAAATTTCCCCCAAAAACCTGCTTTAATAAGCGGACACCTAGAAGATTGTAAATCTAATTCGTCTAGGTGTGATTCTGCTATGGCTTGGTCAGGGATTTTATCACCTGGTCCTATGTCCACGTGTTCGACCAATCAGCTTTCAAGTAGAACTAAACTCCGTTTGCCGATTGGTTGGTTGCTTTTTCGGCTCAAATTTGAAGCTAAATGTACTGTGAAATTTATTGTGGACTCGAACGCCTCATTTCGTGTGTTTTGATTGCGTAATGATTCTAGTTCATATTTCAAAAGTCGTTGAGTCTATTTTTGGCTGACTTCCGTCTCGCAGTGTAAGCGTTTTTCTTCAACTATGACTAATGCGTTAGCGGCAAATGCATTAAGCCTAATGTCGAGTGCCACTTAGAAGCGCCACACCGCATAACCCCTTATCCCCTTTTAAGCTTGCAAGCTAATATATCTTATCTTTTGAAAATATTTTGTAATTTTGGTCTTCATTTTTTTTCGGGAAAATGCTTAAACGCAATGTGCGCCAGTCTAAAAATTGGCATGCAATAATGATTGGTTCGAGTATGCGCTTGGGTGTGATTGGCTGCGTCAAGTAATCAATTACATTGATTAAATTATTGAAACAACCAGCCCTAATCAAGCGGAAATGCTTCCTTTTGCCAACTTGTTGAGTTAAATTACTGACTCATTTTGCGAGAAATGAGACCACAACAATGGGACCTGATGTAGTATTTTCTTGTAAGTATGAACCATCTGCCTGCACTCTGAATTCCTGAGGGTTTATACCAATTTGGAGGTAAAAAAGACACGGTAGGACAGTGGTCTCCAAGTGACATCGATAAGTCCGACTTGGGCCATCTTTCCGAGTGCCAAAGGTCAGCTTGTCTGCATAGAAGTAGTGTCTTTGGGAAAGCGATATCTTGCATCGTAGCACTTGATGAATTAACGTAACGTAATTTGCACTAAAACGGTTATCAGAGCCACCTTTCGACAGGAAAAACGACTTCATCCCCGAAGTTCTCTACAGGACTAGTTCACAAATGTCTCACGAAGAAATCGCAGAGAGACGAAGTATATTTGGCATCTAGCCATCTCAGTCAACCTTGGTCACGACAGAAGGCACAATAAACCATGCTTTCTCTATTTTTTTTTGAGTTTTCGCGTCGCTAGAACTCCGTAAAATAGTGGTACGGAGCTGCATCCAATGAAACTGATGCTACGTGTCTGTTGAGGGGGGGTGATGAGAAATCACTAAGTACGTTGCCATTAAAGGACTAGTAAATAACCCCTGGGCATGAAATTCCTCTTTAGAGATGAGTTGCCAGATCTGTAGGGTTGTAGTCATTTGATAAATTGTGAATGCATGGCCGTCGTAAGATAAATTTGTAAAGAAATCCAAGGACAGCGAGTTCAAATTGCGGATTGGCTGGACAGTCACGAAGTTATTTCGTGAATGACGTCATCGACTGCCTTCCTGTCATCAACTAGCGGGCACTGGGAACATACCATCTTGATGTTGTTTCGTTATAACGCCAACTCAAGGAAAATCAGGATAAATTTGCAACTGGCATTTGTGAGACTTGGAGAACTCAGAACGTGAAGATTTCGAACATGTCACTTCCGTTTTTACGCAGTCTAATTCGAATGTTTACGAGGCAGAATAAATAATTCAGTAAACTCATGTGCAAGGTAGTTTACCATCTCTTAAATTCCTAACTCTTTTAATGCGCAAAACATGTCTGCCACGACAAAAAACACCGGCCTGATGCATTCGAGTGGAGAGCATCTGCTAAATATGGAAATGTACTCCACGTTCCGAACGTGCTTTCTTAGCGAAGAAGTCAAGTTAGTGGGACAAGTAAGGCGAACGCGAACACAAAAAACTGCTTGCGCAGCTTCCTCTAATTGTGCAGATGAGCAGGCGAACACGTTCAGGAAGGGGTGGCAAATTAGTTGCCTTGCCCTCTGGGCATGCTCAACACGACATCTTTGTTGGTTCAAGGACACGTTTGACAGGATAGGTCTTTCATATCAGCGTTGACAAGTCATTCCGATTGGTCTATTCACGTGTCAGACGCCAGTCTAGGGCAGTGGTAGGCCTCTGATAAGCGCCGATGAATCCACCGTCGAAATCTGACCATGTCCAGAATGCCACTGGATGTTGGAGACACTAGTTGACGTCCACGCTCGCATGCATAATGAGGTTGTGTGATTTGCAACAAAGACGGGTCACAGGACTTGATGGATGTGGTTGTTTTTTCTGTGCTGACGAACATGTTGATGCATATATTTGCATTCGGCGCTCGCCCAGCCAGGCAAGTGGCAAGTGTTGTCTTGCGTGGAAAATTAATTAAGCCACTTGGACGGGTCTGCGTCAAGGCGATTCATTCAGTTCATCTGGCAGGTGCTTTGGCAAAACCCCGACCAGGCCACAGGTTTTCACTAGTTTTTTGATCCTGATTGACCAATCATCTTCCAGTTTTTCTAGTAAATTTGAACTGCTTCTCTAATCCCTACAAGATTGCGACTTCATCATGATC